CTTCATTAATCTGAAACCGGTGTGAGATCAACTTCGCTCAGCATAAAGAGTGAACAAAATCTGGATTTCCAACACTAACCTTGAGTCAATGCTTCTGTGTGATGGTTCAGAGACTCGGAGCGTTACGGAAAGAAGTTTTAACAGACCGAAGACATGCATCAACAGCTGCCGCCTACGCTCGCTCGATACCGAAGATCAGATGGCCGGAGGTGTTGAGTACGAAGCCACAATTCCTCCTGAATACATGTGATCAGCCCCAGACCAATATTTCGAAACTGTCTATCCATATTTCGGGTTGCACTGAAGTATGCTGGGCATGCCGTTGGGTCAAACTGAACGGTCCATGGTCAAGGGGACAGCGCGAAATTAATTATAAACTACCTGAATCAAAAATGATGTTTCCTTTTGGTCACTTTCCCTACATTTTGTAGATTCTCATAACGAGTGTTGTTTATCTGTACAAGTTAAATCCTGGAATTGTAGCTGTGTCAGCACCACTCTGATTCTATTTTTAAACCTGGAGATATAATGTATTTCTGTCCTCTCCGACTTCACCACATGTTAACCATTATCTGGTATGAATGCTCGCTGATTATCTTTGGATTTGAAAGAACCTCTCATCCTGCTTTCAAATATAGGGACAATCAAGCTGACGAGCGTCAACCCTGGAGTGCCAAGAAGCACCGCTCTCTGAAGTAACATCATAGTGCACTAAATCGCTGCGGACAGTATCAAAGAGATAGAATTCAGGTAACTGATTATTATCCGTGAAACTGACAGTATTACTTTGTGTTATAACGAGCAGTTCTTCGTACTTGTGAATCATCGAATCCATTTCAACTAATTATGCTTAACGTGATGTTTTGGTTACCTTGACATTTCTTTGGATTGACTTCACAACTATTTTGATTTGTGGTGCTTGAAGCAGGCGACTAACAGGAGACAATAGGAGAAGCAGAAATTGCAACCTATTTTGTGGGGTCATCCCCTACAGATGATGTTATTCAACTTGTCTGGGATAAGTGGAATGAGGTTTTCACTGCCAACAATGTGAGAAATATGAAGGTGGAAACCATGAACGGTAGTTCTTCAATTATGTACTTAATTTTGTCAAGATAGTGAGACGCGATCATAAATATACGATTTTTGGGGAAGAAGGGTAGGCCGAAAATAGTTAATCCGGAAAAGTATAGCTGACAAGGGTTTTCCAAAGTGTGAACAAGTACTGCTGTATCGGAAGTATTAGGAGGCATCCGGGATCGACCGCACTTAAAATACAGAGAGAGTAGGGTAAAGCCTGTGTATGATAATTACTCAATAGACCGATTGTTTCAAGTGGACGTGTCTGATAAGTACGTTCGTGATTATCGCGTGATTTTTGCGTGAACGAAAAACAACTGAAAAGAGATGTTGCACGGATCTTGGACAGTCTTCAAAAAGTTGTGCAGGAGATAAACGTGACGCAGACTTTCGTTATACTTGTTCACAAGCAAGAATATCGCTTATTCAAGTGACACAGGCAAGTGAACATTATGCTTCGTGCAGCACATATATGCTACGCCCTGTTTTAAAAGTAAGTTGGAGAAACATCCCATGACGACACAGTTTTGGGGTAGAGAGTGCAATGATGAGATCATACCTGTGTCATCTGATATCGGGTGAGTACACCGAAAGGTAACGGTTGAGCTGCTGTAATGTTTCAGGTTTCATAAGTGTTACGGAATCTTCGGCAAGTTGGACAGGAAGGTTGCAGAAAATCCCGACCGATATTGGCTGAATAGAAAACATATTTAGTGCGCGACATTTGATAATAGTGTTCCCACTTTTCGGAATAAAACGGACAGTCACGTTGTAGGTTCCCTCTGATAAATGAAGAGGTATCTGCAGAGATCAGATGCCCTGCATAGGATTACGCCCAGGTTATGGAACTATAACGCACGCAGACGTTACAGAAAGAACGCTGAAGCTGCTATCGCACAGACGGAACGTCACGGACGTGACTGCCTGATGCGGTTCATTCCCCTGCTTAATCACTTTACACCATTTACAGTCTGAAAAGTTATTCAGGATTTCAAGCTCAGGGGAAAGGCAAACATGGAATACGAAAGCTGCGACAAGTACATTGTTGAAGTTGGTCTATAACCATGTAGAACATTCATAACTTGTCACCAATCACGTACACACTTGCTCCTGGCACATTTAAAGAAGAATACTTTTACAGGTGTGTCATGTTCTCGCATCGTTTGTTTGCATTTCGTGGTCACCCAGTACTTCGACAGTGTCCCCGTTCGAGCAGGCAATGTGTTTCCCACACCTCAACTAGTACACTGGTAGCCTCCTTAGTAAAACCATGCCACAGGTACATCCGTGAAATGCGCAATGTAAGGTCGAATTGCCACAAAATACTCGACAAATTTGGCAATAAACTTACATCGAATGTTTCAGCCAATGTGGATGAATTCTACACAGGGATTCTTGAGGTATGAAATAAGTTTTCTGTCTTCCTAATGTTAATAAGTGGTACAGGCCCACAAAGAAGATACAGTGAGTCCGCGGTGGTTCGGTCGCCTAGACATTCTCTCAACGAAAGCAATATATGGAGCTCTTTCAATTGGAGACACGGCTGAATAAGGACGAATTTGTGGTACAATTCTTTGTTTTTCGTTAAAATGTGGGTCTGCTCATATTTATTTTGTGATTTATTTTCACTGAGCATAATAAAGGGGTTGATGCTATCAAGTAGAAAACGGTGAACGGTATTGCGCATGCGTACTACCATCATGAGAACTTTCCACAGTCGTTTAGATACTAACTTCCGGCCTTGTGATTTTCTTTTACCCAAGGATGCTTACCATGGTACATGTCATATACTTAATATTCATGGACGGCGTAGAGGTCACCGACTTGCGTTGATACTGCTTAATAAAATGGTAAAAGCGCCCGTAGCGGAAAGGAGTAGTTCAAATGAAGCCAGCCAGTTGATGGCTTTCGGTTGCGCTGGCTGCATATGCTCCACGACGCAACCACCTTAGTGTTATTAGGTCACCGTTAAGCATGGTTCATTACCTCAGACGCTTGCGTATTACACAGCCCCCTAGTTTAGGTTGAACGAAGCGTTGGGTGCATTCCGCTTTATTGGGGTGTCCTATTCATCCAGGTTGACGTTAGGTAGTCTAACCAAACACTGTGCGACTTGATGAATTGAATGAAAACTCTTAAGTCCAGTAGTATAGTAGTTATTTCAACAAGATAATTAAAGCGAATTTTGGGTAAGCACCGATCCATGTGAATATTCTCTAGTCGAAAGTTAGTATAGTCGTTGACTGCATTGGGTTCATAAGACAGCTCAGAGGATGGTAATATAGGGGGAATTACTTCTAGGACTTATCTATATGCCTAAGAAGTCAGATTTCTTAATGACTTCCGCACGCAGAAGCAATAGGTCACTAGTTCCTGTGTTCTTAAATATGGAGTGCACAAAGGGAACGGCAGGCGGGTTAGTAGTAACACAGTCAGTAAGCTCATGCCATCTCGCTAAGCACGCGTTTAATTCGTGTTTAAACAACTAAAAGGAAACTTTGACCAATCATAGAAGGTACTTTGATACCTGAAAAATATCAATGGATAAAGCCGCGGATTCTGTGCATATTGCCGTGCTTAAGTCCTAACTTCGGGGCGTTGGTCCCCTGTCAATGCTTGAGATAAGCTTAGGCGGATTGTCAAGAGTATGGTGTAAGTTATGTTAAACATTGCACTCCGCTTATTGGCCACTCCACACTTGACCACATTTCCGCGGGTACGGATCAAGCCATACTTTGTATTCCTCATGTGCTGTAAACATCACTACCCGATACAAATTAGCTCGCAACTTCTGAATAAGTCATACACTAGTACCATCCTTTTAAAATCAAGAAGAAAGTGCCATAAAAATGAGTGAGGCTATGTGAAGCTATTGAATACCTGGTGAGGTTACCTGTACTTCAGATGTTAACCGGTTTGCAGAACGTGTTGCGAACTTGTTTACCGCGAAGGGCGTCTCTTATATAAGGCTTTAGACTCCAAGTTGCGAGGGAATGAAAATGCAGAGCCTGGTTCCACTAAAAGCATTCAGATCCCCAGCAGTGTATGCCAGCTCCCAGACATGGTTGAGAAAAGCATTTTCCCATCTGCTAGCCAGTTAGTCACAAAATGTGAATCAGCCCAAGTTGATGTGTTGAAATTTTCTATTCTAGCCTGTCTGTACCCTCTTTGCTTATACTAGCTTATCTTAATATTCCTGGAGAAAGCACCCCGTTTATTATAACGTGACTCTGCGGGTGGCTTTGACCGCGTCGGGAGTATCAAGGATTACTCCACGCAACCTACATACGCACGGATTTTAAAGGTGGGTAAGGATTCAAAGACAACGTATGTTTTCCATTAACATATGTCACGAGCCAATGAAGCAGCCCAGTAAGACCAACACATTCGGGAATCCACTGCACAATGACTACAGAGCATACATTTTCAGAGTGCTTTTTTGACGACATCGAGCAGTTCTTCCACAAGTCAAGATGTTTGAGGCTTTGTCCTAATGCCTCACAACTAGGGTCTTACTTGCTCACTAACGTCCTACAAAATGTTTCCGCGCTTATGATTACATCTCAGGAAAGCCCTAGTGGATCTAGGACAGCTTTACAAGCTTAACCTATCCGGTTGGCTTCTTTCCCATGCTTATTGCTCTGCGTCACCACTAAGAAGAAGAAATTTAGAACAAACCTGTAGAGATAAAAAATTAATGCGGACTGATAAAATGAGAACAGAAAATCATATGATTTTCCACGATACCATAGGATAAGGGTAGAAAGTATGAAATGAAATCATAAAAATTACCCTTTGACCACCACATCTCAAGAGTTATGACTGGAAAACACTCAGATTTACATTTATCGTGTGAGGATAGAAGCTATGAATTGTAAATCGAATTTTTCTGTGACTTTGACGTTGCCTTAAATAAAAGTCCGGGCTGTTTAGTTGGTATAATTTGTTACTGCTGGGTGCCGGTAAGTATCACCCGTTTGTGAGCGTAATAAGGAAGTAGCTTATAATCTGACATTATTTTGAGTTTAAATTTGATGCTTTTCAGCCTAGAGGCTTTGAATTTTATCAAAAAAGAACCACTTACACATTCAAAATTACTACAGTGTTAGACCAAAAGAAAACAAAGTGAGTTAGTAAAAATAATGATAATAATGCTTCTGTATACAAACTTAAAGACTGCTATTGTTCATCTTCGTGAAATAAACTCCACCTGAAATGCTCAGTGATGATTTAAAACTCATTCAGAAGCCATACAATTTTATAAGTCTGTCCGAGGATTAAAGTTCTAATGCATGTGATCAGCGCACGGTAACACTTGATCCTTATATAGATTAAGTGCTTTTAATAAATGACCCGCTGATAATATAAATATAGCTAAGCCCCCCTTCCTGTGTTTCTGCTAATAACGTTAGTGGTTAATAAGACTGTTCTGTGTCCTTTCTTTTTTCATGTTTATTCATTTACATAACTGAATAAATTTGCTTTAAATTCTCCTCTCCGCTCAAAACATTTAGCCAAACCTGATGTTGTCTATATTTGCGTTCATTTATGTGTAGTCGTTAGACAAGGTTTCCAATGAGCTACATATTAGATAAGAAATTACAAGAACATTTTAAGTTCTCAAAGTGAATTCCAAGTCTTAAGCCTAATAACTTAAGCGGATGTTATTGTCTTTAGTCTTGTCCAGTAAGGATAGTAAGCCATCTAGCCAGTCTAAACTCTTGCAGCGGGTTTCTCTATGAAGAATCGGTTTTTCCTTGTATTCTTTCCACATAGGAGCGGAAATCAATTGTTCAGGTAAGAAGTCATAGTAGTTGACCATTCTGTTTGAGAAACCCAAACTTACGCTAATTTGATGCGATTGTGGTATTGAAGTTTCTTGTGCTTGCCTAAAAGATGATTCACCCTTAAGGGAGAGAAAAACAATTCATAGGAATCCCATCGTCGGTGGTAGGAAAAAGGGGATGCTAATATTAGGTTCCCTCTTCTTCAGTAAAAATACGACGGAAAAAGATTTGGTTCCTTTGAATGGTTCTGATAGACAGACCAGCTCCAAAAGCAGTATCAGGCCTCAGAAAACTCTCCATTGCTTCAACATCCCTTATGCAGCAAGAATTAATCTCTTGGATTCAACATTCGAGATGGGATCATCCAGAAGTGGGATACAATATCCCAGGCATTTCTTAATCATAGCATTTGAATACTTATGAAGAGATCAAAGTAGTTAAAACCCTTTTTCTGTGGCTTCATTAGGTTGTGTAGACGTTTTGAAGTTGTGGCTGAAAATAATTCCCAAGCCTTTGATTTCTTGGACATCAAGTGCTGATGCACGATTTATCAGCTACTGATGACAGCTGCTATGTCTAGTATGCATAACTAATCATTTTCTAGAGTTAATTTCTAGACGCTAATGTTTGGAATTATTGATCAGTGAATTTAGGCTTGCTTGTAGTGCTCATCTGTCGTCATCATTACGGACGACCTCCTATATTTTCATGCCATCAGCAAATAATAACACCGATAACTCACTACCAAACGGGCACTGAACCCAAGGTCATTGATTGAGCAACTCTATTTGTTACAGCCTGTTACTTAAATAGTGTTATAGTCATTCTCACTCCTTATCTCCTGAGCCTCGTATTGAGAATCTTTGAAACCTTTCCAAATGGTTGAGCTGCTTTATGATTGAGACCAAAGGCACTTAAAAGCTTGCTTGATACCTTTTGGGTTAATCCAACAAGCATCATTCGTCGACTCATCATTATCGATCTCCCTGTTAGGTTTTAGTCGGCAGGTCGTTCTTATTTTATCTACTTCAGTCATACTGTTAGAGTTCTTCTTACAATAAGTTCATATCTTGCGGACAGGATGAGATAAATTTCCCAGCTCATTCTCATTTTGCTTACTGTCTGTTTTTCACTTTACTTAATCTCGATGACGTTGACTATAATGTCTTCTGTAATTCCTTTCAGTGGGGCAGATGAACTGCTCTTACTGCCTCTGTGTTTCTTAACTGCCACAGGCTCAAGCGCCTTTTTGATCAGGACAGATACTAGTTTGCGGCAAAAATTGTACATACACTTTAAAGTAGGTGTACTCTAACGTTTATATTCAGACAGCTGAAGCCAATATATTGCAACCTTTTGTCAATGGTTATCAGTGTTTAGGTCAGCCACAGGCATTTTTACGGTTAAACATTTTAAGCAATACTATAGCTCACAAAATGTTTTGACAAAAAGTGCAAAAAAAAAGCAAAAAGAACTTTGAGAAACGATGCAGAAGAAAACGAGCGAATATAAATATCCTGACATACCACAGAAGACGACGTTGGACCCTGAGAAAATGCAAAGCTCTGACTTTAATTGCAATACTTCCAGTTAAAGTTCCTCATAAATCTTTTCAAGTGACAAACAAATAAAGCCACATTTGGCGAGATTGTGGAATAATTCACGCTTTGCTTTTGAAAAGCGTACAAGAAGGTGCATATATCGAGGTAAAACAATGTGACTGGATACCAAATGACCTACATGAAAGATTGCGTACTTTTACCTTCATATGTCCGGCAACATTGTGAAGATCTTAATAAATATCAATCTTTACTGAACTACAAGCTATCGATTTTAGGAGTTTGTTCACTGCGATGCTGCTTATAACATTGTCGTTTATTATTATGGTTACTGAAGCTGAACAAGAAACAATCAACATAAAATTTAAATTTCTGCTGTCTGCAACCACTACCGACGTAGAAATCTACTCGGAAGGTCAATCGACATTTCAAATGTATTTCTTAATCTAGTTACTTGGATACAGTATTACTGAGCCTGGTTCACTATAGACTCAGTCTTCACCCTATTTTCAGTTAGCTAGATTGATGATGGGGGAAGTTTTGACTAGCAATTTCGGTAGACGGCTCGAATAAAACACCAATTACCATAGCATATAGATGTATATGGCAGCGAATGGTAATTATTTTTACAAAAATGAGGTTAATCCAAATAACTGATTTCATCCTTCACAATTCAAACTTCCCCAAGGACTGAACGCGGCAGTAAAGATAACAATGGGAGATGCCAGAATTTTTTATTCTTGTACAAATGTATGTTGATTTGCACTTAAAACCTAGGAACAAACATATGAATTCACACTACGTTTGTGAGTTATTTTAAAAACCTACTTCAAGATAGTAACTGTCAGAGAATGGGGACGGAGCTAAGAAAAGTGTATTTAATTCACTGATGAGAATACTTTCCTATAGAAGAGGGATGATTCGTCAAATAAAATTTTTAAGTCAGTATTCATCATAGAAAAATAAATAAAATTTTCCTTCTGACGATATCATTTACTTAAGCTGCAAAGTCGTATTTGTATGCACTGGAAGCAAATAACAGTCTACCATTGATCAGTAAGATCACACGGTTCATGTAATGTCCAAAACAGGACTAAAACTATCGTCCTGAAGATGTAACGAAATTAAGTAGTAATACATTAGGACGTCATAAAACCAGAAATTTAACTTGCCTCTTTTAACACCAAGTCCGTGCTTGAAATTCGGAGCCACTTAACTATCTCTTGTATGCAGACCGTGAAGTTGTTCTCCTTTAAAATTCATTGGGTTGACATTTTAAATAATCCTAAAGAATGACTTGGGGGATCATCATCACTAGAGATAACCAGATGTTCATGTATAGAACTACTCCGACTATCATTCATTTCCTGACAGCCAAGTAAGATCATGCCCCGACATCCAACGTGACTAGCTCCATAGGAGAAAACAAACGCACATCCAAACATAAGTGGCTCAATCAGCAGCAGATCAGCAGTGTATCTGTGTATCAGTTGCTAGTTAAAAAGAGTCCGAAGCATTGGAGGAAAATTGTGTTTCTTCAATATCTGGAGAGATGGTTGCCCAGAATTTCTGCCGCAGAGTCACATTAGATTTCTGTGTTCGCAAATAAATTTCCTTTTGAACCGTTAGAAGTTGTTTGGCATTTTATCCCAGCCTTAGGTTTTCCTCAACAGATGTGAGAGGTTAACCGTTTTGAAGCAGAAGTTAACTGTGTTTTTCTACCTTACCATCAGTCTTATCCATTAAACATTTGTGTTTGATTTTCAGCAACAAGTAATTAATCAGGTTCACCTTGCTGTTTAGTCGTTTCCAACCCTAAAAATAGTTATGTTGTCCATTCCACGTTAGCTTTCTATGAATTAATCTTTAAAAGGTTATCTTATCTTCTTCATAGTAAATTAAGAAAGAAAACTCACAATTTACCACAGAATTTATCATAAACCTGGTTGATTGGTGGGAACGATTAAAGTTATTAATTATGAGCATTTTATTACTTTTTTTATCGTACGTGATGAATGAATAATCTTTTCATCTATAACATAGATTTTAATTTTGGATTACAGCTGTAGCTCAGTATCCTCCAAGTTTGCCACGAAACGGTATACCTGTAGGGAATTAAGAGGTGACTCTATTACTAGTACTCATGGCCAAATCTTGTCCCACTAAACTGTTAACTGGAATGTTAAGATATTAGATCAAGACTGAACTGTTCTGTTTACTTTTGCTAAACAAAGTTAGTTAAGCCTTTCTAAGACTTTGTTCCTACTTTATCAATCTTTCCTTTACATTCGCTAAAGCTCTGGTGACCCTTCAATACAAATTATAAGGCTTGAGAAGCCTTGGTAGCGATTTCCTAATAGTTTTCTGAAGTTTTCGAATTATCGCTTACAATTATCCCTACATATAAGTGGTTTAAACACACTTAATTCATTTTGAAAACTACACTTACTGAAACTTCAAATGTAGGTTGAATTGTTATCATTATTTTTCAATCCATTTCTCCTCTACATGTTAGTGTAAAGTGTGGCAACATGAAATAATGCGCTTTCATAACACGCCCACTTTAAGCTGGATTGTTCAATCGTGAAGCTTTCATTGTTTTCCTGGACGACTTCATCAGCACTAACTTCAGTATGAAGTGAGCTGTCAGTATCTCTCAATCAGTGATTTAGTGGCTTGCTCTGACGATGTGGTCTGTGATTGGTTATTTCCTCAGATTGTTGTGTCAGTGACTGTGTAGATTTTCTTGTTGTCTGTTACTCTGCTTCACTTATGACCT